ATCGCCTCGTGTGCCACTTTTTTGTTCTTACCACATTTTTACGTCATCTGTGATCTATTACTGAACAGACGCACGGCAACATGGAATCTATTTGTTAAGCAGATCCAGACGAAACTTTGGATTGAAGCACGATTCACTATCAAAACAACTGTTCTGTTATCTATTTCTGTTTTCTTCAGAAAACATCAAGTTGCCGATTGATGGAAGCTGCCCATGACTGCACAGCTATTTGGAGGCAATTTCGGTCAATTTTGTAGTTTCTACCAGAAGTTGACTTTCATGTTGGATTATTTTGTAATGCCAGTGAGCTATTAGATACAAAAGGCAAAAAGGCTTCAAGATACCCTTAGACACTAATTCCATTATATTCTTTTGTTTAGTTTTGGATGTTTTGCGCAAATAGTAAGATACTCTTTCATGGGTCAAATAAAATCACTGTACAAAATCTCAGTTGTATATGTATTTAGTTTTGCGCTTACGCCTTAAGACATTGCAAACAGGAATAATATATGAACAACATGGCTAAGTGACTGTAGTAAATGACTGCACGGCAAATCCAAGGTAAATGGTTTTGAGTTCGAAATAACGGGTAATTCGAAATAACCAAGTTCGTATGAGGGGGGTCCAACTGTAATTACAACAGGTTAGAAAACTATTAAGGGAAGTGTGATGATGCGTAGGCCCAAATCATGCAGCAAGCGGACGAAGTCCTCAAGATCAGAAACCACATGCAAAGGAGGGTGAAACGATAAATCACTGGTGCCAAGTTGCACGATAACAATGTCAGGGCGGACAGATTGCACGACCTGCAGATCATGTCGGATAGTCTTCGCCACTGTACGCCCTCCAACACCATTCCAACTTACGGCAGCCGGTTCCGTTATTTTAAACGTTAAATCTAAATCCCTAGGGTTACGTTCAATGAAATCACGTAAACGTCGAATAAAAGAATGCCCAGAACTAAAACGCGGGGTGTAGGTGTGCCGTGTGTAGCCATAACTATCGCCGAGGAAATAAAATAAGGAAGGCAGTTACCAAAGGAGCAAGTTAAAGAAACAGAGAGTAAGGTTAATATACAGTAAAATATATAGAGAGAACTTGCCTGTAAAAAAAAATCTTGACTTAGCGACAAAGTAGCTGTTCACAGGATGACGATGATCGCAGGAAGGGCCGCGTGTAACAGATAACATGACTTTTAGTTACGCCTAGGACACTCGCGTTCTCCTGATTGGTTAGGAAACCTGAACACACAGACTGTTGAATAATAGGAAATGCCTCGCACTAAGGACATGTTTTCAGTTGTTCAACATAATGTTTGACGTCACGATAACCATGTGATTTTCTGACCGAGTTTTCTTCAAACACAAATCCAAAATGACCGGTTTATTGCTGCGTTTTTGAATTCCGCAGGTGTAGTGTGGATGGGGCCTTAGTTTATTGAGCTCTCAAAAGCGATAGTCAACCACATTTAATGACTTATCACTCCCATGCTATCAACTTGACCAAATCTGGCTATAGGCGTTCGATAGCAAGCTAGCCAAGAGACAGTGTCCAGCTGGGTGTTTTTTTAGTAGTTGACATAACCTTTGTTGTCGGCATCCATTACTTTAAAGACCTTCACAAATAAGGCAAAAATACATTCTCCNAAGTGTTTCCAGCGTGTTGCAGTGTTGGTTTTGCTTTCCTACTGCTATTGAACCTAACCATTACTCAACAATTCACTTAACCTCCCACACAGATCAGGGCTCGTCACACGTTCCCTCCCCGGGAAGGAACGCGTGACGAGCCCCAAGAGCGTCTGCGTGGGAGGCTACCATTCGTCGCCGTGATTCTTTTTTTTTTTTTTTTTTAATTTGATTTTCTTTGTTACGAGCAGAAGGGTACTCTTAAATCCCTGTAAACACACTGTTGAAATTTTGGTTTTCCATCTATCAATGTAAGCAAAAAGAATGAAAAATAAAGTTCTGATCTACCCCACGTTTCACACTGCGAATTTCAATACACCATAAGGCACTTAGGATCATCGATTGTGCCCAAGTGGTTGATGGAATAGTCTTTGGTCTCTCACCAATACAAGGTATAAAATTTTGAAAATATGTAAGCGAAAAATCGGGTGGTTTCTTTTTAAGATCCAAATTTCAAAAAAATCAAGGAATCTTATATTTGCTTACTTTGGCCACGAAGTTTACTAGATTTTAATACGTCAAAGTGTTTCAGTGAGAAAATTTTAAATAGGTTTTCACCGAAAACAATAGAAACATCCAAAAAGCCTCCCACAATACTATAATTGCTATAACTGCATGATTGACGAGGTTTTAATTTGCTTATCTGCCACCTGCGCTTATGTGAGGGCTGGTATGTCAGTTTAGTTAACTCGGTTGTCTATGCCATTGAAATGTTGTATTTTCCGGAAAACACGCGGATTTTCAGGTCTACAACAGCCTCACAGGATGACTCTATGCAAGAGTACATAATTCTTTCTAGAAGGGTGGAAGATTCAGGTATAGTGCCTTCTTTACCTTTACTGCAGACGTTGTAGTTTGAACACTTGAACTCGAACTTTCACATAACAATGACTGAGTTCAGACGATTTTTTTTATTATTGTTTTTATTTCTATTACTACATTACTTGCAAAAAATTTTGAACGTTTTATTTTGAATGTTTAATTTTCGGACACTTTTTGTCGCGCGATTCGGATAATCTCGAAGAAAAGTAAATTTGCTCCTGCAAAACAAATAAGACTGAAACAATATCAGTGAAATGATAGTTTTACCGCACCCTAAAGGTTTAACAGAAAAACCGATGACAAAATAAAACAAATTCTTATGTATTTCAACCAGTGCCTCAACAAGAGCTCGCTCCATGAAGGGAACTAAGAGCTTTAAAACTACTTAAAAGTTTTATACTATTCTGTAAATATTTCGGATGCTTTAAATTTCGGATGTTGTATTTTAGAACATGCACTTTTTTCTTCCGAAATGAAAATCGTCCGAATTTTTTTGCAAGTGATGTATTGTTTATTTTGCATGTTGAGATACCTATTTCTTATTTCAATGGTGGTCTCTGAATTAAGCCTTCACTCGAAAGGACTAAAGTTAATAAATATTTCACATAAATATTCAACCTGTATGACTGCGTGATTCTGCAGTGCTGATCATTAATATTTCTCACTTGAGTGTTCAAGAAGCCATCCATTTTACCTCTTAACTGGTTGAAACTCTGAAATATATATTTCTAAAATACATTATGGCCGACGAAGTGTTTTGGTTTCCAATACTTTCAACACTTGAACTTTGGAATATGTCGCAAATAGCAAATTAAAAAAACGAGATTCTTAAAAAACGTTTATTTATTAAATTTCAGTGATCAAAACATGTGGGTTTCCTTTGAATGACAATTCATGTAGCACTACAAGAAAATATTAGCTTTATAAAATTCTACAAATCACCTAAAAAGAATAAGGTTTGCCAAAATGATCTTCTCGTTTATATTTCACTTTCAACGTTCCGTTCGTATAGTGATCATTTTTGTGGACAGCATCTTCTCTGTTTAGTATCTTCTATCGTGTTTAATTAGCTGTTTTACGTAAGTTTTTCAATATTATTTGAAGACATTTCAATTTTCGAAGTTATACTTCTAGATGAATTTTCTGACCAGAAAAATACAAAAATGTTTCGTGTTTGTTTCGCGAATGGAAAATACAATTATTCTTGATACACATAAAATGATATATTTTCATTATTTTTATTTTATTAACTAAAAGCATGGCCCGGTAGACCAGACGAGAGCTCATCATAACGAGCTCTATTCTTCAAGGGCTTCCAACAGTGGTTTTCTCTCACAGGCTATCTGGTGGTAAACAAAGCTAAACAGTACTTAGCTTTTATTACTTGCAGGAAAGATACATCCTTATTAAGGGACGATATTTGTGAAAAAATGGAAGAAAAGTCCGTCAACAATTTCAAAATGCTGTTCCTACCACTCGTCCTTGTGCTAATTTGGAGCAAACAGGAGAACGTCTTTGCTCTTAAGGGTAAGAACAACTTTTTCCGTTTTTTTTTTTTTTTTTAGAAAATGGATATGTTCAGAGCCAGAACGCTTCCACATGACAGCTCGTTGTCCTCAAAGAGTGGTGTCAAATTTATATTTATGTGTATAACCTAGACAATTAGAAGTTAAGTGGAGAGCTTTTTCCCTTCACGTCTAGCTTACATTTTGGTCGAACTTGGCAAATTAGGAAGCTGCCTGAAAAATTCCAATATATGCTTCTAATTTGACGTGGGAGTAGATTCGAAGAAATGCAAATCTGAACGTTAAAACTGTTTACATGTCAAATTGAGCGAGACATTATTTGTCTCCTGGCACCGCGGCTGAATACGAAAAAATTAATTTTGTTCAAAGTGGGCTAGTTCCGGAAGGGCACGGAGAAAAAACAAAAGATACTATAAACAGCCAAACGGATAAAGAAAAAGATCGATTTATGAAGATAATAGAGGACCACTTCGAAGATTTCACGCTTTCGCATTTTTTTTTTTTCCAATCAAGCAAAAAGTAAGCCCCAAAGTTATCAATGTTAACGAAGAAATACCAGAAATGTACGCCAGGGGGCAAGCGCTTGTCCCAGGGCATACATTTATTTACACGAATTGGCAAGTTTTGATTCATTTATTTCCATGTGTTTATAACAGATTCTTTTGAAACTTCGTATAATATTTACTAAATTCGGCATGATCAATTGATCTATGAAGGTGGATTTCTGTTTATATGAAAAATACGAAAATTTTTACATATTGAGTGTCATCATAGAAGCGGTCCATTTCACTGTCGGTTGTTTTAATTTTATGTCTAATTATATCGTCATGAAAAATTGCCTCTTCGCCTCCGATGGCTATATTGAGCTGATTTGAAAGTTAGTTTTACCTCATTGGAATTGACAAGGATAACCAGATTTACTTAATATAACAAACCTAATTCTGTGTATTTTATCAATTTTCCATTATAAACAAAACTGTGTGAGTATTTGGATCCATCAATTGTTTAATTCTTCCCTTACTTTGAAGATTTTACGATCTTCAGCTATCTTCTGTGAAAATATTTTCGCACTTCGAACAAAATTGCTCGTTCATTATCCATGAAAGGTAAACTCCAGCTATTCGCTGCTTACCAGAGTTTCCTCATCAAAACAAGCACTCGAACACCGTCTATTTTTTCAATACAAGCCAGACAAGCTACTTAGTTGTTGCGAGGAATTTGCTAAACAAACCTTTTTTTTCCTTCTAGCAGGATGTGGTTCTTTGGTAAACAACTCCCTGAAAAGTCCCGGATATCCAAACAATTACCCAAGCGATTTGCACTGTGTTTATTCCATTGTTATCCCACAAGGCATGGCGTTGAATATTTCATTTGAAGATTTTCACTTGGAAGAAGATTTTGGTTATTGCGAGTAAGCATCTCTACTAGAAGTAAAAAAAAAAATTTCCCTCAGTTTCAGAGATCTCGAACTATAATTCATCATTGATGTATAAATAATCTACAGCCTCTACTTCGCGCGAAAGTATGCTCGAATATTTGCTTCCAGGAACAGTTAATGTCCAGAGAAAAATATCCCAGCACATTTTTAAAGTCCAATGTAGGCTACTGTGTTTATTATCTTTCAAGTATTTTTCGCAACACGAGAGGTATTTTTAAAGTTGGGGAATATCACTCGGATGTTGGGTCATATTCAGTCAAGTGACGCGTTTTGACCAATCGCGTGAGAGTAAAAATATTTATGCATATGACGTGAAAAAAATACTGTTTTTTATAATGTTAGCTATGACTACTTGAAGATTACCGATGGTAAAAGTCACACATTTGGCATATACTGTGGCGAAGAGACAGGGAGGAGTGTTGTTGTAACTGGAGACCACGTGATGATCACATTCCACTCTGACGACATTGAGCAACGAAGAGGATTTTTTATATTTTTCACGACTATCCCAATTGGTAAGTAGACTAAGTTAGAATGCAACGAATGCATCTTCAGGTTTTTCACAGAATAGTAGCAAGGTATTGTGGGACGTTGTCTGACTTCTTTCCCAGAGAAGAGAAGGGCGAAAGGTTCGTGATAAAAAGTAGTGCTTTAATGGTAAGTGACTGTTTTAAACTTTACCAAAATTATCCAGCTAAATGTGTGATTCAGGAAAAGGCAATTACAAAGTATAAGCCAGAAGACTGAGGCACAAAATAGATCTTTGTGTTGTGATGTATACATGACGAAGTCCTCCTTACAAAAATCTTGTTGCCATGGTTGACAAACGCAAAATGTCGAAAGGGCTATTTATACGCCACGCACAAAACCTCCTCTCAAGGACCATTTTTTGTACTTATCGCTATGTTTGTAGCTATGTAAAGCCAAAATCAGATCATTTGCTCAACTAGATTTGGTAGACTTGAAAGTGCTGCATATTTATTTTGAAAACAACATTTTTGCTGCCTCTATTT